CTATATGATATAGAAGGATATTTGGCATAATACCGACTGTGCAATACTCATTCATGGTCTAATAAGAGTTAAGTCAGATTGACGTATGCTATATGCTATATGCTATATGCTATATGCTATATGCTATATGCTATATGCTATATGCTATATGCTATATGCTATATGCTATATGCTATATGTTATATGCTATATGCTATATGCTTGCTTGGCCTTGAAGGAGTATTGCACAGTCGATACTACCCGACGGCAACTCTCTTACTTGCATTTGAATCATTCGTTTTCTTGATAGTATTTGGGTTTATTAACAACATAGAATTGCAGCTAGCTAGCGCCAGTGCTTGAAGTCTCGTCTTGGCCTTTGGACTTTAATCTTGAGAAAGCAATTTACATGAATCAAGCGTAAAGTGCAATTGCTGCAAATGTAGCTCAATTTATAAAATATTTCGGTTCTGAGCTGCAAGCACATTTATTAGTTCATTTATTCATTTCTTGTTTTTTCGGTGGTGTTGGTGGTGCAGTTGGCGCGTAAGTCTTAAAGTCGCAATGCTGTCATTTATCTGTGCGAGATTTAGTTGAATGGGATTGCAGGTTTTAGTGTTGTTGGGGTGGCTGCACTTGCAACAGTCGCTGCATAGCTCTAGCTGTAGCTCCAAAGTGCCCTGTCATTCAAGGGTCACACACACACACGGATACACATACACGCATACACATTAAGCTTATAATGCCCAGCGACAAATCAAGCAGCAGGATGCAGTTGGCAGGATGCAGCTGGCAGGATGCAGGAAGCTGGACAGCAACAGCAGCACGTACGCTCCGATCTGTCAGCACGTGCATGACCACAAATGTGCCACAATGCACATACACATATACGTATGTGTAGAACTGTATATATTTTTGTTGTCTATGTATCCTTGAATAGACAGCCGGCATCAGGCTGCCCTGAGCGTAAATTGTCATGGCTTGGAATTTCGGTAGCTCCCTGCGAATCTTTTCAGTGCTCAGTTTGTTTGTATTTTTATTTTTTTTACAATTAGGCCGGTACAATACGTATTGTTTCTGGAACTTAACAATCACCCGTAAGATACTTCCATGCCAAACCAAATGTCACGCCGCACCGACCTCCCGTTCGGGCGACGCAGCGCTGGTACGGACGGCGGATGGCGATCGACGACGGCGACGGCGTCAGCGATGGCGGCTAGCAGTCGCAGCGGCAGCAGGCTAGACAGGGACAACAACAGCAGCTGCGACAGCAACAGCTCCAACGGGACGGACAGCACCAACGATAGCGGCAGCCAACGCATGTCCAAGCTGCGTCCGCTGGCCCGACTGGATCGCCTGCTGCGCCGCTGGCTGCCCGGCTACAGCTATTTGCGCGGCATCACCGCCAAGGGCAGCAGCAGCAGCAGCAGCGGCGTCAGCGGCGGCGGCGGTGCCAGGCGGTCGGCTGACAAAGCATCGATGCCGTCGCAACTGAACAACGCCATGGAGGAGCAGCAACAGCAGCAACCGCTCACCATTGACCCGCCGCTGTCAGTGCGGAAGCGTCGGGACGGCGAGGTGGTCCTCGATGCGGGCATTGCCAAGTCGGAGTTCTGCCTGAAGCTGGAGAAGCTGCTGCGGGCCAAGTTAATTGTCAAGAATTAGCGGATCGATGGAGCCAGAACTACAACCGATTTGAGATAGAAAAAAGAAAAAACACACGCCAATTCGAACGAATATAAATAAGAGTCAAAGTCGCAGTCATTGTCATGGATATCGATCTACAAATATATAGTATGTACACAAAAAAAAAAAAAAAAACTTGAAGAAAAAAATAGTGGAAAAAAACCAAAACTCCATCCTCGATCATCGCACCAAACAAAAATTGCAGTCAATAAATTTTGGATGAAAGTAAATTATGATATTGAGGCCGCAGGCAGTTTCCGCGTGTTAATTGAGCAAATACCAAAATGATATGTGAAGCGAAACAGTTCGAAACCCGTTCCAAAAACCAATTTATATTTTATATTGCATCAAGACATAAATAAAATTTACTAACTGAAAATTCAATCAGAAATAAATGTGTTTAGTATATTGAATATTCTAGAAAAGGAATTGGTCAAAGAAGCAAACAAATGTGCACATAAGGCATGCCATAGGTAAGGTACATGGTATAGATTTGTTGTCATCTTAAGGAGTGCGGGGGAAGATGAAATATATATCAACCTCATCAACAATGAGATAGGACTTGGGTACAACAGAAATATGCTTGCACTCTATGCTCAGGCTGATAAATATACAAAAAATGTTATATGAGTATTTAAAATGGAAATTTACTAATAAATATTGGTGTCCTCTGCTTATGGTAATATGTAAGGCTTATTAAATAAGAGATTAAACAAAAGGAGTTGATCTTCAGAGCGATAAACGCTTAAGCTCAGATTGCTTTAGCTCCCTCGTTCAATGGAATGCTTGATTAGTTCTTTCAGCATTATTTAGCTTTAGCATAAACTACATTAAAGCAACATTTTAATGACTGTGATTACATTAGTCGAGCCCCATAATGGCTATGAGCCTCAATGCTTCCAACAATTCAAGCTGAAACTCAACTGATTTATCGACGTTTAACCAACGACAATTTCTATTATATTAACGTAATTATGTACATATTTATGATAATGATAATGAGAATAAATAAGAGAACGAAGAGTATATACACTTCATAAATTAATGTGGGGCTGTGGCTTAATATGAATACATATGTATGTATAAATATTATATATGTTATGCGACATCTATGTGGATCCGCAATTGCTATGGGGAAATCTGTTCGAAGTTCGATGAAGTTCCTCTCAAAGATCCCTTTATATCAGAGCAATTCAACTATTTATGGGGATTATGTCGAAAAACAATATTAATTTTTCATTAGTTCTTTTATTTATTTCCCAATCCAGCCAATTTCAGACACAGGAAACAGCTGATGATTTCATTGTTTGTTAATAATCGACTCTAGTCAACTCAACAAATCCTGGATATGTTTCATTCAGTCAGCCGGTGCAAGAGCTCTCATATCCACAGACGGGCAGAGTATTTGGATGACTGCAAAAAGGGGGGGCAGAGCTTATGATTTATGTGGACCCCGCTCGGATATGGCAGACACACGCACTGGCAGTTTCAATATATCAGCATTGAAGTATTAGCTATATATCAATCAGCCGAATAACAAAGAGCACACACACAAAGGCTGAGGGGCTGACAGCAGTGAGGCGGAGTGAGTCAATGGGGCGTCCCTCTTGGGGTTAGCCTTTATGGCCGTTCAGCGCTCATTAAAATTAATTAGAAATAACGGCCGTAAATGCGGAAATTTACAGACATCAAAAACAGATATGCGAATAAATAAATAAATAAATAGGAACGAGCACATCAAAATTTGTGGATAATAAAATGGAACTGCGGCCGCCGGGCGCTCAAATTGGCCTAAAATGAGTTAGCCAAGTGCGGAGCGGAGCCGTTGGCAGCTTCCGGATCCCCAAAGGCCAGGCCACGTTGTTAATCAGTCAAAAGCCCGAGCCGAGCCTTTTAATTAAAAATAAAAAGAGAAACTTTTGCCAGTCTCAAGTGGCGCCAGGCCCCACAGCAAAGCGAGGCAAAGCAAGGTGAAAGTAACGGCAAAAGTCGAGCAAAGCAAAGCAAACGCAACCACAGCCCAACGAGCTAAACTGTCAAAGGAATTGAAGTTGAATGGAGCCCGAATAGCTTTTGGACAATAGTCGATAGCAATCAGGCATATTTTACATATATAACTAAGCGCTACACAAATATGCTTTTATATAAACATATTGTATTTAAATTGAATGGCTTCGCCTCTCGACTGAGCTGACAACAAATATTACGCATACGCTGCATAGCTCGTTAAGAGGCTCTCCCTCTCTCTATGTGTGCGTGTGTGGCCACCCCTAATAATTTGCTGGCTGAGCACTTGACTGGCTTCCGTTACATGACCATTAATGTGACTTTTGCCACCGCAGCGTCCGAGCCGAGTCGAGCCGTGCCGTGCCGGGCCGTGCCGAGCCAACGCCTAAATTTGCGCCTTGGGAACCAACTGCTGCTGACCGCAGCTCGGGGCGAGCTCGTGGCACAGAGTGAAAAGCGGCCCATAGCTGTTGCTTTCACTGATTGTTGCCTTACATTGTGTGGCATGCTAATATATATAATACATATACATACACATCCACACACACATGCTCCTCTATATATAGGAATTTCATATGGTAATTTAGTTTTTAAATTTCGCCAAATTATCTGGCTCTGCAGTGGGTGGGACCAGGCCACAGAGTGGCGCAGATTTGTGACAAAAGGTTTTCGGCTCTTTGAGCTCGCATTGATTTGCTGTCAATTGGGCAGTTCGTGTTAGAGCAACATATACCTACACATACATGTGTATATATATGTATGTATGTATAACATGAATTAGCTACAATGAAGGATTAATGAGGGCCACATTACAGCTGTAACCATATGAAATAGCAATAAGCTTAACTCGTCCTTTGATAATTAAACAGGTTAAGTATGCATGGGAAATGGGAGTGCTCGACTAGCATATACTCTGTACTTCAGCCATAGTTAAGAGTGATGACAGCTGATCCTTTTATAACCTTTCAAAGTGGATAGTTTTATTCGTATATATA